AGTAAATGAAAACAGAGACGGCTAAGTAGTGTTAAAAAGTCACCTGTAGCTGTGGCCATTACAGAGACACTGGTAGATGCAGGCAGACAGAGATGCTGCTAAAGTGTGCATTACATAAACCTGAAAAAAAGCAGTTGTTAAAACAAGAGCTTAGTATTTTTTAACATCATCAACATAGACACATATATACATGCTATACACACTATTTAATTGATCAAAACATCAACTTGACAAGATTACTGTTGTTTATTGCAAAATGTAACATTAAAATGATAAGATTACAATATCTGCAATCAAAGATTTTCAGCAACACATAATTTACAACTACTGATAACTCATACAAGAAAGGACCTTTTAACAAAAGCGTCAGCTGTAATAAAACTATAAATGTATGTGTATCACATTAAAGAGGACTCAAACAATACAAAAAAAAACAATTTAAAAAATCCACTTGGACACAAACTTAAAAAGTTAATATATTAACATGACTTTTTGAAAATCTAGTAATTCCATAACAAAACAAGCTGTCTATGTTTAGATATTCAGCATAATTACTTGTTTGATTTTATTGTATTACAGCTTTCTGAAACGTTTTTCTGTAGACAATGTGATGCACCCTCTGTATATTAGGAAAATACACCACACCTTTTCACTAACATTCATATTACCAGTGGTTTGTGATGACCAGTTTTTTTTTAATCTACACTACAAACAAAAACCTACCCAGATTTTTGTTTAAAGGCATCACCTATTTTGAAAAGAATATTGCATTTCTTACCTTGTTGTTTTTTATATCAGGGTGTGGTGGAGAGTCCAGGTCCACGATAGTGTGCAGAATGTCATGCGTGAGGTTTACCAGGTGTACTATGGGATTGGCAACAACAGTTTTTGCGCTGGCAGTGCATGCTAATAGGAGAGGAATGGAGGCTTGCTGTTGTGTGGGGCCGACAGAAGCTTGTACTGCAATGTCCTGGAAGAAGTTAATGAGTCAGTTACACAGTATGTACTGCACAGATCTAACAATGTCACAGAACTTCAGATCAGTCTATATCAAATTAAAAAACATTTTTTAATCCATGTTAGTTTTAGTATTATATTTCCAAAATATACTCTTGCATTTTTGCAAGACAGAGAAAAAATACTTGTTTACAGCACGTACATATTCATCTCAGCAAAGGCATGGTGCTTTCAAAATTACAACTTTCAAATTAAAGGACTTCTAAAATCCAGTTCCATCTCAAACTGTCCTGATGAACACAGCTATACACTATGGTCAGTCTGTTCTTATGTCACTAAGTAAAGAATCCTGGGTTATTTTGGTGAAAATGGGGTACCGGGCACCAGCCTTTTGTTTATTACATTTTTGCTATGAGAAATTCAGTTCAGAGTTATGTCTGAGGACTGCCTGAATTACAATCTAGTCACATGTAAGGAAGGTAAGTCTACAAGATGTGCATCTTCCCTGATAATAAACAGAACAATAGCCCATTCAATTATCATATTACCTGTTGGGATTCCTGCAGAAGGAGAATCAGCTCCATCCTAACTGAAGCCAGGCCTCCTCCATGTGAGCCGTGGAGACTGCAGTAGCTGAGAAACATTCGGAAGAGAGGCTGGTTCTTTAGAAGCCACTGCCTCTTCCGCTGAAGATACTCCTTGTGCTTTACAGCTCTCTGCTGGTTATAGAGATCCTCAGCGGACAATCCAGTGGAAGGGATCTCATTGACATTTCCAGCTATTCCTTCTACAAGATCCTCTAAATCCGGATTGTACCCACAAGCTTTCTGCAAAGCTAAAACCTCCCTCTCTAGCCAGTGGTACAACTGATACCTCAGTTTACCGCCATCTAACTCATATCCAGTGGATAATGTTCTGAGTTCTGCAGTAAGGATTTTTAGGCAGGCACTGAACTTTAACTGAGCAGCAATAATGTCTTCTGAAGGGCTTATGATTTCCCCATCTTCAATGGTTGTTGGGGTTTCTGTATAAGATGAACTCATAATAGGGGTCTCTTTGAGGACATTGTTATTCTCCGTTTTAACATTTTTCATAGACAGTCCACATTCTTCATCCTCAGAGTCTGGGTCCTTATCACTGTCCCATTTTAAATCCAAAGGTTCATCCTGAATAACCAAGGAAGGCTGACTCCAGTTAAAACTGAGAGCAGAATCTGACTGGCTGTCTGATGCCCTATCAGAGACGGATCCAAAGCCATTAACCACTGGCTGAGACCAATCAAAGTCAGAGGCTTTTTCCTGCTTGGTCTCTACATTCAGCAAGAAATTTTTGCCATTAGTTGACAGAGTGGAACTGTCTTTGCTCAGCAGAGGCTTAAATTTCTTGACCACCTTTGGCATCTTAGACAAGACCTCCAGTGCCAGCATAGGACACCCGGCTTTAAAGTGAGAATGTGCAGCTGTAAAGAACAGTCTCCTTTCCACCAAGTTAATTGTATCAGCAAAGCTGCTTTCAACAGTTAGACCCATTCTGGTTGAAGATTTCTCTGAAGATGCAAAATGCCGACGGAGCAGGAGAGGGTGTGTCCGTAGATAAGTATAAAAGTTGAAAACGGAAGGGTTACAAAATGCAGACATTGCAGCGGTGCCTGAAATCAGTAAAGATAATTAGTGTGATGTTAGAACAAATTTAAGCAACAATAAATATTTTAATGACTAATAAATAAAATATCATATATTATTATCATACATAACCTTTGCACTATTACTCCGTCCTTACAATCCTGTCGACATGTTTTAGTACTTATATTTCAGTACAGTTCCTACTTTACTGCAAGTTTGAAATCCTATCTAGAAAGAAAGAAAACTTCTGTTCATTCCTTGCAGGATGGGAAAAGGTTTGAACAAACTTTAATTCAGGAAGAGCTTGAGTTTGCCCTTGTAGCCCAGAGTGATACTATCTGAGACATGATAGTACAGGTGCTGCACAATGTCACACTGAAAGTACAGTTACTTGAAGGCAAAAAAATGGCAATATTTTACTATTTTAGAAATAAGAATCCAGGAAATAGTCAACATGCATTTTAGAAAAAAGTAAAATTACAGGCAGTAGGCATTTGGCAAAAAGTGTGACTGAAGTGAAAATTAGTTAATAGAAAGACAACTGAGTATAGATAAGGGGAGAATATTCAAACTGGGGTGATGCAGTTAGGGCAGTACCACAGGGATCAGTAGTGGGACCACTGGTTTTCCTAATGTACTGTACACTAATGACCTACTTATAGAATAGACAACTTTGCGGAAGATTCCACGACAGGCGAAATAACAAACACTATAAGCACTCAAATTTGACATTGACCTCAGTCTTTAAGTTAGCATACTGAATTTGTCAATCATAAGGTTGGACATTATTTTCATAGATTTAGATTCCATAGCAGGGTAAGCTTTGTTAATTACAATCAATCTATTTCATACAGAACCTATATATCCTTATAATGTTCCTCTCACTGTACTGTTGTATTAAGAGACAAGGCTGTCGTGTTTCCCCTACTGTTTGCTATTTAATTAGAACCCCTGGTTCACCAGTTTTTTGTTTTATCAAAGTAAAGAACATGGAATGCTACATCTATCATAATTAATCTTGATGATATCCTATTATTTTCAGAGAACAATTTTCCCTTCTCCTCTTTGTTAAAATGAAACTTCACAAGTTTTCAGGATATGAAGCAGATTGGTCAAAGGCAAGCTTCCTTCAAGTCCAACACTACAAGATGTGGTTGTGCCTGTATGTATTCCAGTGTTCAATGCTAGAGTAGATACAGTACCTTTACATCTCTAAATCTTTATCAATAATATTCTTAGAAGGCTTGAGGTGGATTTAAATACATGGATGAATTGCAAGCTCTTTTCACATTTTCATATGCAAATTATTTCAAAGAATAACGATTTCAAATAATTGTTCTGCTACTCATTAACGTTTATAGTTCAATGCTTCCAAATCATCCCTGCCACCAAAGTCGGACTAAACAGTACTCAATGTATTATAATTAATATTAGGTCGCGGTTACTTTTCTGAGACAATGCAAAATATATTTTGGCCCCAATATTCATTACATGATCATAGATCAGCTTATAGGAAAAAGCCAATGTAAAACTGAATCAAAGTAATGATCACACTTCATTAGTTCAATAATGATCACATATCATCCAGCTGCCACCTCTTTGTTTTTTATATGACACTTCAAAGCCTTGCAATGTTATGAAGGACAACTACTTCTATACAGTATGTCACACTATAACGTTTGTCCTTTTCCTCTAAGCCTGTGTTCTGCAATGTGTGTCTACTGTGCTCCCTCATGCACAGAGTGCCTGCCTCAAACCCAACAGGATAAGATTAGTTTAAGAGGCCTAAAAATGGGATAGATGTCTTACAGTATGTTGTATTTATAAGGAGAGCCATATAAACCACTATGAGTGCTATTTGGAGTAGGGATAATTCTCATCTAAATTAACACATTTTTGGGATATTGTCTGGAATGATAAATGTTCTGCTTTAAGAAACCTCTCCACATTAATTGTACCTACAGAATAGACTTAACCACTCAGATACAATTTAAAATGATTTTCACTGACATCCCTTTGTGCACTGTGCCTCTAGGGAGAAGTGGGTATCTTTTTCATATTGTGTGGGAATAATGTGGCCATGTTCTGGGGGTGGATATGCTAAGTTTTATCTGCACTGAAGAAGAATGTTCCTTTTCTGTGCTGACCATTTTGCTGAAGGGGATGTTTGGGATTCTCTTTGGTACAATGAAGGAGGGGGTCATGTGAAATAATGACTGCTTCTTTTTACTACTCTGTTATGTAAAAAATGTTTTGTACCAATACAGTTAGTATAAAGCTGATTTGTATCAGCTGTCCTTATAAGGTAGTAAAAGACTATGGTAACCTTTGAATCTTTACAATCATTAGGTCTTGTGTTGTCCCTGTTAAGATCACATGTGTAATAGTTTACAGATACTATGTAAAAAGGGGCCAATGTTTTAACTGTTACAATCATTTTCCTTTGTAATTGCATGAACAAGAATTGGATTAGTGTATTCATAAAATAATTAAAAGGGAACTTTATTTTACTGAGAATTTCTTGTTTCTTGTAGTCTCTTTTCTGTGTCCAAAATGGGTAGAAGGAAGACACTGGTAAATATGAGATGCCAGAAAACACAGGTACTGTAAGTGAGGGGAAAGTATTTTGGATTTTACAGATAAAATCCCCCTTAAACATAATTTGTTCATGAAACCCAAAGTCCATTAAACCAAGGGTTAACTGTATTCAAAACATATGACCTACAGTAGTACTCAATTTTAAAAAAAGATAGAAAAAGCCTAATAAAAAGGAAAACAAAGCACAGTGGTACTTAGAATAACTGGACAAAAGTGTCAATATAAATTGTCGCAATAAGCACACCTGCACACCGTACAAGGAGGGAGGCTTCATTACTCTCACTGTGATTCTTTAGTATAACACCCACCTGTGCACGCATTTATGTTGCTGTCTTGCACTGGCTGCTCCAGCAGAGTATCCAGAGCCCTGCTGTAGTCTTCCAGAATCCAGTTGGCCACGCTCCTCAGAAAAGGGTCTGGATGCATCTCAGATGAGGTGAATGTTCGCTCCTGAGCATTGTAGCCCAAGATCTCCTTTTGCAGTATGCTCTTGTACATGGAGGACACCTCAAATTCAGATTCAAAGAGCCTTGAGATCACCAGGGCAAGCTGAATGTCATGCATTCTCTCTAGACAAACCTGAAAAAAAAAAACACACGGAACAAACTCCAGTGGTAGTGTTCATTCACTTCTGGTGAATTTTTCATACATTTAACAATCTTGAAAAATGGGATGTAGAGCAGTTTTCACACAAAGTACACGTCCTGTTCTTTAAACAGAAAGAGTAAAAATGTTTTATGACTGAGTAAGAAAACCATATTTGTTTAACATAAATTGACTTGTATTAATTATAGACTTAAGAAAGCAAACATGTTTTCAAGACATATTATGGTATTCTCAGTAAATACAATAATTTAATATCTAATTTTAAATTGTCACACTATATAAGAATAAATAAAATTAAAATCATGGCATGTTAAATGAACACCTCCACCTCTAAATTCCATGGAATCCTATTCTTAAATGTGTTTCATACGTATGCAGTCTTATAGACAGTATCAGCAGAAAATCTGGAATGGTGTTTTAATACCGATGCTGATGTTTTTGCACATTCTTAAAATAAATCTGATCTAAAAAACGAATATTGCTTAATTATCAGAAAATATTTAATCATCGGGTTTGGGACTCAGCATTTCACTCTTGGGGTTACAGCTGTCATTAACAGATTACCTAAATGAAAAAATACATATCATAGCATGTGTGGATTTACTGGGGAATACAAAATGATCTGTATCAAATTCTCTGTCTCTACTGCTTTCACACTTTATCTCCAATACTGTTAATATAATCATACTTCAGCTTACAGGCACAAACATAAAGCATAAGGAATTCTCAAGAGCTTCAGCAATTAAATTAATTTTGCAGGAGTGTGATACATTATTCATATTACCTCAACTGCATCCTTTAAAGAGCCAGCCAGAAGGAAGAATGCTGCAGAATGCTGGAAGCGCTGTTTTCCTAAAAGGGAGAAGGCATTTTTCAGAGCTGCCTTTCTCCACCTGTCTTCGCTGAAATTGTTACTGAAGAATTCAGTCATCTTTGTATTCTTCTGAGACCTTGATATGATAAAAGAAAAGCCATCTACAGTGAGAATATTTTTCTTACATTTTAATTTGGTATCTTTAATGCAATATACGGCATGAACAGGCTTTGCTGTTCTTTGTATACTGTGAAGGATCTGAAGCACAAGAAATAACTACTGAAATTAATATACATTTTTTGCACTTTGTAATGGCTGTCAGTATATACTTTAATATGCGGTTTCAAAATTGCATACCTGTATAAGCCCCAAACTACAGCTTTCTTCTTCATTGCCAGATAAAAAATTGCTGCATCCAGAGGATCATTATTTCTTTGAAAAGCTGCTTTCGCTACCTATTAAAAACACAATACATCCACTGCTTAATATGGAAACAATTAAACCATAGCCTTATATCAAAAGAAAACATGAGAAATAGAAAAAAATGAGGACATCTTATAGTGAGTGAGAGTAAGGAGAGAAATCAATGTCAAGTAAAATATTAATATTTGACCTCCATTACTGTGTATACATGCACATTTTATGAGCAATGCATCCTTTTCTGTTCACATTAAACAAATAAAACTTTCCCACTATACAAGAATAAATCAAAATAGGATAAAACATCATTACAAACAAGTGTTAACTAAATTACTGGAAAATATAAACTACTGGTATACCTTCTCAATGCTTCTGCGCAGTGTGTTTGTGTTTCGCACCCACCAGCCTATTCCCATAGCTCTCAACTCTGACCATGTGGGGTCCCCTTTCTGCATTGCAGGCAGCATATTCAGCAACTCCTCCTCAGCTTCAGAATGAAAGGCCCAGGCAAAATGGCAAGTAGACAAACCTGCATGAAAAAAACAACTTGAAATAGAACTAAAATAAATTCTGCATTCTAAAAGACTTTAGCACACAAACATAAAGTAGGCACATGGATTGGTATTGAGAAGAATTTGTTTACTGAATTAATTTCATTATGATAAAATGAAAACAGTGGGGACCTGAAGAACATTATTTTAAAGTTGGTAAGTGAACATTTTAGGGTAAACAAATCAAGATTGGTATCCACTGACAAGACTGATAACATTTCTGTTCTTGACATAAAGAAGTCAAGTGCAATCATTCCCTAGACTGATACCTCTAAATGATGAAGGAACAAATACTACACAGTATTTGATGTACACTTATTTGTTTTTTTAGATAAATGTAAAATATTTAATATACGTTACATTGGAATTACTTCAAATTCTAATGGACTGCCTTTGAAAAAACAACAGACAGCAACAACTGTAGCCACATATATTTCATTTTCATGGAAAAAGGCTTCATACTGATAGAATGACGCATTGTGAAGCTTTCAATCCTCTACAAACGGCCTACCTTGACGAAGAAGCTGTGCCCGATGTGCTGGAGGCAGAGAAGTTAAAAGAAAGGTGTGCAGTCTCACAGCTAAAAGAAACTTCAAGCCACATTCATCAAGAGTCTCTCCACCTTTACAATAACAAAAATCATTGTTAACAATAAAATATTTTCAATTGACAATAATAAACATTAAAACAAAATGTCAAAAAATCATCTTAACCTTTACCTTTATTTTTATCTTGGCTCTCTCCAATATCTGTACTGGTGGTTGCAATAGTGTCTGCTAAAGCCATTAAAGACATCTGCTCCAGTCGGGTCAGTCCAGGTAAACTAGAGTGCAAAAGGTGGCTTGAAAGAACCTGGGCATGTTCCGGGCCAAAATAGGTGGGACTATACTGGGAGAGGTCAATCACCTTTGGTTTTGTACCCTCCTGCTCACTATCTATCAGATCAAAGTCATCAGTTGCCAAACTAGGAGCCTGAAAGAGCTCATCATAACTATCAGTTTGGCTTACATGATTTTCTTTGCTCAGAGTGACACTGACGGTTTTATCCTTTGCTTTAGGGGATGCATCTTCATCAGCTGCTAAAAGAGCATAAAGTGGAAGGGGAGGAATGGAGTCAATCTCTGTGTAATCAGAGTTCTCTGGTTTGTTGAATGTTTTAGGGTCTCTAGCTGTGCTTCCACTGGCACTGATTGTCAAAGACCGGAGCCGGCGTTCATGATTTGTGCTGTTTTCTTGCAGAGCCACAACTTCACCTGCAATACATTTGACCAGATGAGACAGAATGGCCTTAGCCCTGCGAACTTTTCCAAGGTCCATGAGCTCCATCAGCTGTATAGGATGATACTGTGGCAATGTGGGAAAAAGGTCATGAGCTGCTTCAAAGAGTCCATAATCTTCCATCTCAACAGGAAGATCATACATTGTTTTTTTGCCACTCAGCTTTTGAGCAAGGCTAGTCATAGATCTAGTTAGGGTCCGCTTGGGAGGTTGAGGATTTAATTCATTGGTATGACCTTGTTTTATTGCAGCTGGTATGGAGGTTGTGCTACCAGTGTCAACTTCTGTAGATGTTACTGTAGATTTGGCAGGCGGTTGCCACTGGGAGTAAACATGCATTTCACAGTCCATACCAATAACAAGAATGCCATCTCTCACCCAAGAAAGAGAAACAGGCAAGGGAAGAGATCCTTCAACTGAAGAAATGAGATCTACAGATCGAAGGAGAACAAATCTGGATGAAAACTGATCTCTTGCACCCTCCCATAGCAGTGAAGATGAAGGTCCTGGTGCTTCACTGCTGTTAACACCAGACTCTGGCATTTTCCCAGAAAGCTGTCCATACATAAGAAGTTTGGAGCCAATGCCCACTGTTAAGATGTGGGATCCATCTTCCCTTGAGACCCAGTCTAAGTGAACAAGATTCTTGGCACTTGGCGTTACAAAAATGTCACTTGACAAATAGACATCTTGTTTATTGTAAACTGTTAAGTTATTGTCAATACTAATTCTCGGATCTAATATTGTGCTTGGTTCATCCAGGCTAAGGGTTTGTTCAAGGATCCATTGTGAACCACCAGTAGATTCACATTCAAAAATACCAACGTGCATTGCAAAATCTCTGCCACAATAATGTGAGGATGACTGCTTAAATGCCACAGCTATGCGGCTTGTATTACAGCAACTAACTTCAATGGGTCTCCCGGGCACAGTCACTGTGCTACTGTTTATTAATCCATTCTCAATGAGCAAAGGCCACTCCTCCCAAATATATGTATAATCCACAATTCCAGAACTTTCAGATTCAGTAGATGACATGGGCTGTGAATATGCTCTACATCTCCAGAAGCGAACTTTTTCATCAGAACAGGATGTAGCCAAAAGATAAGGAGCAAGGCCCGTCGGATGCAAGGATGAGGAGCTCAGATGCCCTGTTCATAAAAAAAAAAAAACAGAAATATTGTAAAGATATTTTGACCAGTGTTTACCTAAACATTTATATGAGGTCTCAAAGCAACCAAAAATAAAATAATCATCAAGAACTTAATTCAGCAGACACTGTGATCTCAAGCACAGACTTTGGCCTAATTCATTTGTTGGCTCCCTTTCTTCTGAAATAGATGACCACATTTAAAGCACAAAAGATTAACAGGAGGATTTCCTAACCAAGAGCTTGCTTTACAATACACCACCATATTAAAAGAACATTCTAACCTGCTGACGGGGTAGCTCTGATAATTTCCACTCCATCTGGCAACTTCAATTGTTCGCTATATACTCTTTCTGAGGTAAGAGTAAGTCTGCTAGCACTCTGTAGGTTATTCTTGCTAGCTTTATACTTCTGTGAGAGTGGAGAGGGTGTCCTGTCAGGAGAAAGGCCATACTGGTCCTCTGGCATCACAGTCAGAGAATCCATTTCAGTTGTATCTGACTTTTCATCTAAGAGCAATGATAGTTAATCACATTTATATTATTTAAACACATTGCAGGTATCAAAAAAGTATCCCAAAATCTGCATGATTTACAAGATTTACATGATTACTTTTATTCCTACACAAGACATTAACTATCGCTATTAAGAACTAAGTTTTCAACAAACAGTTCACAATTACATAATTAGGCGCCAAAATGAATTTAACATTCATTAAAAACCTGAACTTCATTCTAAGTTACAATTTCAATCCCACTTTAATTTAAAAAAAAAAACTTTGCAAGCAGTTACTTCATTCTCTCAACCAAAAAGTTTTAGAAACCCTTTAAATATACATGCATCTTCTATTTGGCAAATTCTCTGAAAATATGCAAAAATGGTATATAAGACAATACGAAGGATGTTACAGAATTTTACCTACCTAAAGTGATTTGTACCGATTTCAAATGCAGGTGCCACATGTGAAGCAACGAATGACCATTCTGAGTATATTCAATAACAACCAAGAAGAACTTCTCAGAGAATCCCTTTTGAGGCACTGTTAGGAAGGCAAACATTAGAACTGATGCATTAGTGCAAGAAGAAAGGCAATTAGAGTCATCAATATTTCACAACATCATTCCTAAAAGCACAAACCTTTTTACACAGGTAGGCCACGAAAATCTAAGCACCATGCTATGCTCAACTAATGAAGATATTCTATGCCTATATCAAATATTTATTTTAGCTTATTATTGAAGTGATTGTCAATAATGGTCCCACAGAGGCACAGTCCAAAAGCATTTTAAATGTGCAAATAATGTTCTAAACGCAAAAAAAAAATGAAACTCTCTCCAAAATGAGTTCAAGAATATATTCAAAATTCTATAAGATAAAAACAATATCTAAGATATCTGTCCACGGGATAACAATTTGATCTTTTAAAATCTCCACAACCAAAAGGGTGTATTGTATACACTTAAATATTGCAATAAATAATAAGATCAAACACTCTTAAAGTAATATTTTTGTACATAATGTTTTAAATATAAAAATCTTTTAAGTGCACAGAGATGATTTAATTAATTATAGTTACACCATTAATATTAAACTAAAAAGATATCTCAAAGCTTAAATAGTGAAATATTCAGCATTGGCACAATCTTTTAAGTGGCATAAGCCAGTTTTAAAACAGTAAAATTCCCAGGCTATAAAAATCACCTAGGCTACAGGGCATATTGGATGAACCTAATTCTATTTATAATTAGGTCTGGAAACACTGTAAAAGAACTTCATACTCGACAAAAAATTAATATATTTATTTGCTCAAAAATAACTTTTCTTAAATTTATGCTGAAGTCAACTGACTACAGTACTTAGTTAAAAAAGTCAACTTAACCTACTGTTTTTCATATTTGCCAAAAATACCATGCGATTTGAAACATTAAATAAAGCATTATTATGATAACCTCTTTTGATAATATCAGTAAGCAGACAAAACAACTGAAAGACTAGAAACATATCTGTTTTGTAAATCTTAGCCATTCTTTAAACCAGTTTAAACTTTACACAAGTCACAATGTATCTGTTGTCATCCACAGAACATCAGAATCTCTCTTGCTTTAACACTTTCTGCAATGCACACAGTTTTATACTAAACTTTTTATTTGTACTTTGTGACATGTAATTCTGCGGCTTTAGCAAACCCAGAAACAGGACGTGGGTTTATTGGCCTTGGGTTTATTTACAACAAATTAGAATGTAAAGTTCACATTCTTGGAGACCCAAGTAATTTCAATTAATGTTGTCATGTCAACTTCATTCTATTAAACCATGTTTTGTCTTTAGTGCTTCTGAAAAAAGACATTCTTAATCATACCGGTTTCTGATGACAGGGTTCCTTCCTGTGTGTTATCTGTGCTCTTGCAGCCCAAGATAAAGTCTTCTTCAAACACATGGAGAAGCTGGGTTTGCTTTCCATGCTGGAAAAGAAACAAAGGAAAAACACATATATACTGTAACACTTAACATACACACTTAAAACTGTAAGATTTAAATCAAACAAAAAAACTAGTAAACTAAGTAGTCTCTTCTTCCTGAAAATAGCATTACATAGTATTAAATTAATACACCTTAATATAAATTTCACATAATAGGTCACTTTCTGCATCATTTAAATTACCTTAAATACTTTAAATGAATATCTTTTTCAAAGAAGCACTTGAATAGACCTTAGAATGAATGCAGATAAGACTATTTTGCTGTTGATGCAGGTAATTTATATTAATTTTCATAAGCAAAGAAATAAATGTACATACGACATCTGTAATGGCATCCAGTTCTATGATACATCCTGGCCTGGCAGTGGATTGCTGGCTCACAATATTAAAAACTTCTCCAAAACATCTCTAAACAAAAATAAATACAATTTGAAAAAAAAACAAAACAAAATCATTTTCTTTTGCAATTGACCAATATAAAAACACTTATTTTTTATAAAGCATTTCTTGTAAATGCTAATCAGTAGTTATGTTATACGTATGATCAACTATTCACTTAAAGTGTCAAATAGTGTCTTCTATGTTTCTAACTATTTTATATTAATACAGCCTAGTTTGGATGAGAAAGCCTACACAAGCAGACAAGAAGTAGTGCTACAGTAAGCAATCCAATCAAAGTCTACAGTAACTGATTCACTGTCAGATGTTCCTCATTATTAATATTTGTTCCTCTCTTAAGAATTAGAATTGTGTTTCTTAATACAGAAGTAAAAACATTGGAGAGAAGACCATAATACAAAATATGAAAGACTTTCATACAGCAGTGTATGCACCTTGGAACATGCTATTAAAATTTATATTATAACCAATAACACAATTGTTATCATCTTTAATGTTTTCATGTTTTCTTACAGAGATTTCTGGATTTGACAGCTCACTCAACAGTTTTTTTGCTTCAATAACAGCCTGATACAATCTCAGGGAATGTCCATCACTTGCCACAAAACACGCGCTGGGGGAATTGCCATAAGCCCCTAGAGAAACAAAATATAACTAAAATAAGCAGGAATCAGAACTGTGTGTTTGATGCACATTTTTTGCAAAAAACCTGAAATCATTTGGCCAGCAGCCATATCACCCTGCAACTCATAAGTGGCAACCCCACCTCAGCAGGTGTGAGCCTGGTCAGTACCTGGAAGGGAGACCTCCTGGGAAAAACTAAGGTTGCTGCTGAAAGAGGTGTTAGTGGGGCCAGCAGGGGGGCGCTCACCCTGCGGTCTATGTGTGACCTAATGTCCCAGTGTAGTGACGGGGACACTATACTGTAAAAAGGCACCGTCCTTCGGATGAGACATAAAACCGAGGTCCTGACTCTCTGTGGTCATGAAAAATCCCAGGGTGTTTCTTGAAAAGAGTAGGGATGTAACCCCATACTTTTGAAATTAACAAATATTAAATAATATATAATTAAATATAATCTCATAGGAAGGTGCAGTACCTCTGCTCAATATAAAACCTATGGTACATAAACAAAATAGGACAAATGGTGTACTGGGAGAAGGAGGTGGAAGACTCAATATAACTCAGGATGGCATATACTCCATGATGTCTGGTGAACAAGCTTAATGCATCCAAATACATTTCTAAATTTGCCTAAAATGTAAAAAACGTTTCACATTATAACTTCCTAGAAATGTAATAAGCTAGAATGTCATTATAGATGACACATAAAAAATTACTCATTAAACATTTAAAAACTCATGGACAGAAAACTAAATTATTAAAAATAAATTGATGGAATACACCCTGTACAGAATAAAAGAATTCAACAGACAAGATTAAAATTAGTAAAAGCTTTCAGCAGTATTCACAGACAGGGGTATCATTTTCACAAAACACTTTGACCTCTTATTTTGATGTCCATTAAACTTAAGTGAATTAAAACATTCTATATTCATTTTTTCCCCACACTGTGATTTACACTTTGTATTATTTGCAAACATTAAAACACTTGAGGGAAAACTACCTTTCAGACAGCAATATAAAAGAAAAACTCTTACCTAGGCAGTTGCTAGGTATTAATGTAGGAAGCCAAGCCACGTTAGAGAAGGCAGAAACATGCAGTGAGTTAATCCTGGCCAGCTCTGAGACTCCTCCAGAAAAGGAGAGTGGTCCCACAGGATCGACTCTCCAGAGAATCAGCTCACTGTAAATGGCATTGGGATCTTGGAAAGCTGCATCTTCCGATACTCTGCTCAGTCGTTTGGACAGTGGATCATGATGAGCCCCAGCGTCTGCAACATTGATGTTGCTAAGATTATATACCTCGACCTCGGGTGTCTTTAGTGCATTGTGATGAGAGGTTGTTAGCAACAGTGGTAATACTGAATGACAAGCCAGGTCATTGAGATGAAAACGGTGGCCACAGTATCTGGACTTGTGAGAAACACTCAGAACTGTAGAAAATGCCGACCCCTCTGCAAAACTAACAGCCCATTGGTTTAAACTTCCATCAGCGTGTTTGGAGATCATGAGGACATTTGGAGTGAAGATGCTTAATTTTAGACTGCTGGAAGATTTGCTTTGGCCAAAAGAGATAAGCATGGATGAGGAGCGAGCCATGCCAGTGGGCTTCTGTTTGCCCTGCTGAATGGCAAGATCCACATTCTTGGTGCAGGCATACATCACCACACTCCTGCTCAACGAGTTGGCATCTCCAGTTGGGAAGGCTACTGGGATTCGGGAAACAAATGAGACCTTTGAAAAAAAAAAACAGAAACAAGTACGCAATGGAAGCATTTTTTAAGAGACGCAAAAATAAAACCACATTGACCATCAATGGGTTAACATTCTGACAGACCTTTTAACATCATGCTCTCAGCAAGTCAAATGGCAATACTGCTAAGGTGGGTCACCTGTGTACAGTATTTTCCACAAAATCATCCCCCCTTCAGTTTGTTTGACTATGCTTAAGAAATTTTATAAATTAGGTTTAACAAGTATGAAAAAGACTATGATAAAAAATCATGTGAAATGCAAAAAAGTGAGCAACCATTGACAGATTTGTATGTGCCTTAACATGTAGAAATCATGTAGCAAAAGACAACTAAATATGTTTAAGTGTCAATTTAAGTTAAATTTAAGGATTCCTGAATGCAGATCCAAACAGTACTATTTCTTTTAGTACCGTAACTAGGGCTATGGGTTTTTGATGGCTTGTTTTTATACACTTCAAAACTGCACTGGACATCCTAAGGTCAGCACAGACATTTAAGATTTAATTAAAAATATAAACTAGGGTCTCCAACCTTTAAGGTCACTTGTTTCTGTAAGTGAGATTCATATTTTGACATGAAATACTCTCTAAAGTGCTTCATTTCAAAAATTACAAGTTTAATCACAATATAAAAATAATATTGTCAATTTAATAGTGACCTAATAGTCACAGGTCCTGCTGTACTGGGCCATTCCAGAACAAGGTGGAAGCCCCTGACTTAATCAATATTAATTTAATACATTAACTTGTATCATTAGGAAATATACACTTCATTACAGAATTATAGCCTTGGAAAAAAATGTTGCATCTAATGAAAACAGTCATAAGAAATGGATACATCAGCTATTTTAAACAGTATTTTTGTGATTGACTGCATACTGTATATTGACTGCAAATATCTACCTAGTGTGCTCTATGCATCCTGTACACAGGGTAATTAGGACCAAAATGCAATAATATACCAAAGGATAACACCTAAAAAAACAAAAGCATAATAAAGGACTGACTGATCTGATACATTGCCTTGAAAACTGTTACATTAAGTGTCCATCAGATCCATAGCAAAATTAGAGGGTTAATAAAGCTACTCCAGATGTCAGGATAAAGAGTGTTTTAACTTGCCAAAAATCTAGAAAACTGATAAATTACTAAACTGCAAAATAAAATAAAAACACATTTTACTAAACAAGGTAATGAAAACTGATGATGATAGCAGTATTTGATCCACAGCAAGTGTTACATGAGTATAGAACCCTGTTTTTTTGGAATATTTGGAATTCAGAAATATAAGAGTACTAATGATATATAAAAGAAAATTGCAGTATAATTTAATAAAAATATGCTATTTCTTAAGTTTCATACATTTCCTAATAAAGATGTATTTCCAATGTTAAAAATGGATGTCAAAAAACGAATTCCACATGAACACATTTTAAGATCTATGACAATAGACAGGATTAAACAATAGAAGATGCTCAAATTTAACATTAAACTATAAAGCACTTGCACATATATCAAATATCAAATATGAGCTCCTTATGAACCTCTTTAATACAGGTCAGGCATCATGTTCATAAACACAGAAACATAATAAAAAAAACATATTACGCTAATTCAATTAAATTCTATCCAGATTCAATCAAATGCACAGTTAATTTCCTGAGTAAGTCAATTTAGAGATTAGTCCCAGAAAGGTGAAATATTTTAATAATATAATGTCTAGTAGTAATAATAAAAGGATCTTCTTTTCTTTGAGAAAGCATCTGTTTATACACCCACTAAGATTAACTGTCCAGGAGATATTTTCACAAATAGCTTCAAACATGTACACATACAGAAAATGTCTATTAACAGCACTGGTCTACTGTGGATACTCATAAATATTTCATAATGGTCTGTAGATATGTGCAAATTACACATATTGTAGTAACGGAAATACTAACTGAAACCAAAAGCAAGTCAGATTACTAAAGATTGTTTAATGATTATTATTCTCATTATGTGGTTTCAAGTGGAGCTATTAAAATTTCTTGAAGCTGGAGAACTGAATTATATGTTAAAAGCTGGTGAAAGAAGTATAGCTCTAAGCATCCAATAAACATTTTTATTTTATTTTATGTTGTATCTAAGCTTTCCTCCTGTTCGATGCTTACAGAATCTGTTCCTTTATGACACAAAAAACTGATACTCCAAATGTAAACAATATTGTTAGGTTGCCATGTCTTTTTAATCTTTAGATGTCTACAGTATTGGTATGTTACAGGAGCAGAAACAATTATTATTAATGAAGTGAACAACTGTTGCATGCACAAAAAGAAGCTTTAAAAATACCAAAAATGTATTTCTGTCTCCTAAACATTTGTATTTTACCTAAACAAATATCGGTTTAATGAACTTTGGATTTAACAGCTCAGCTTAAAGGGGAGTTTTGTTTTTAAAATCAGAAATACCAGACCTTCCCCATAATAACAATCAAATACACATATAACAAAAAAGAGTAAAAATAACAAATATAAATACTACATGGGTTTAAAATTCAAGGATAAGAATGGCTCCCTATAGTGGTAGGTCAATAGTTTATGATTGGTGTATGCTTTATCTAATTTTATAAAGTGACTGTATTGTATCCAAGTAAGCCAAAATATCCAGAAAGCATATACAGTATATGTACTCAAATAACAAGAGGGTTTTTTAGTCTGAAAACCATTATTTGTGATATAATGGACATTCAGCAATAATGGAACAAGTAAAGATTTATTCCATGCTGAAAAGAGACAACAGCCAAAACATCTCTTTTCAGCATGGAATAAACCTTTATTTGTTCCTTTGCAGCCTACATATGCTGATGCAGCTACCTACTTGAACTAATTGGGCAATACTTGACACTCCTTCCCTCCATTAGTCCTTTAAGCCAAGGGTTTACTGTATAGATATAGGATTCTGTATTGCTGAAGTTTTTATTTTGAGAAAAAGAACCTTACTTTTTCAATTTTGTTATATATACTAAATTTAATACCACTGTACACCTGCTTTCTACTACTTCTCAGAAAAGTGTTAGGTATGTAATGTTCAATGTACATTACAAGTGGAACAGAATTTGAAGGCCACCATAAAACAAAGGAATAAAACAAGTATGGTAACTGTCTGTGCCCCTAGCTACCACATATGTATATAAAATAACTGCTATACAGTACATCCTATGCAAAGAATATAAGCTCTAGATCAACGTACCTGCACTTGACGAAACATGCCAGGCTGATACTCATCCAACCAGTCAACGTGCCAGACTAATAACGAACCATCCATGGGATGAATACTGAACAACATGTCTGCATTCTTGTTCCATTCAGCCAACAGCACTTCAATTTCATGGTCAATAGCAGCTGCCGGTAATGGTATGCCAATACTGTAGGAGCTTTTTTCTCCATCTGAGTCTCGTTTTCCTAAAGACCCTTTCTGATCATCATCATTGCAGCTGGTTTCTAGCAAAAATGTAAGTAACTATTAGTAACAACTAAAAAAGTGATACTGAATCTGGGTATAATTATTTAACAAATTGCAATATGCAGGATTAAACAGTTCATCCCCACAAAAAAATTAAATCAACGAGTTATCACAACATGGGAAAAGAAATTTGAAAAAGTGGGCATCTTGGCTTTTTTTCCCCCACATTAGAAATATAAAGGTTACAATCTACAGATGAATGCATTCAAGAAAATAAAAGCAGACCCCACCTCCAAACATAATTATAGTACAAGCATTAGTTTCCATTTAATTAGGTACAGAAGGGTTTAAACATCTGCGAATTTAACATTTGCACATTTAGTTATTTGTGATTCAGTCTGGTCTTTTATGGAAGAAGAGCAGATTGGGATGAAACGGAGCTGAAGGTTGTTAATCGCAACTTTCAAATTAGTGGTATGACTATCTTGATCACAAGAAGAATATAGCTAGTAAGTGACCTCTTCCTTAAGAAACCTCCAGGCTCTGCTGTCTGCAGTGTAGTGAATGACAGGCTGGAGGGGACTTTACAAGTTCACTGACAGCTTTATTGCCCATTTCTTTAGCACGCTAATCACAGAGGCAAAGACAGTAAGCGTAGGCTGGACACAGAGGAGATTCATGTTTATTTGACCTATTTGCTATAAGTTTGTGATTACTGTTGTTTCTTCTACTTGATCTATGTTATCTAAATTAATTTAAAGCCAATTAATTAGTTCTTTAATTATCATATAGGGGAGGGTTATTAATGTCTTTTAACCATAAATACAATATGCTGTAATTCATTATGTGATAGTGGACGTTACATGCAAATTTGGCTATTTGCAATGGTCTTCTGCTATGAACCCTCGCAAATGTTCAGACCCTACTGTAAATAAGAAATAAATATTCATTAGAAACTTGTTGATGTTTTATTGCACCTTCATCGGACTTGGCATCCATCTGGCAGGTCTCCTCTGTGCTGGTTTCAGGAGACTGCTGTTCCAGACTCATCCGCAGCTGCTGCAAGAAGACTTCCATTGACAAGCTGAAGTGCAGCTCCTTGTTATTCAGCCAGTGCACCACAAAGGGACCACTCTGCTCTTCAGTGTCATCCACGATCAAAGATGAGATGGAGGGAAGCAGTGGAATGTCTACACGCAATAAATTAAAGCCATTGATTTATACTGTCACACTCTCCATGAATAAATATCAGAAATAAATAAATCTAAATGAGAAGATTTATAGAATATGCAAGGTACTGTAGGATATACCAATATTTAGATGCATCAAACCAAGAGTATTTTCAGTTATAATCTCAGAAAGCCTGTTACTAATATTTTTAAGTCTTAATCCCCCAAAAACTCATTTTAAAGGGAATGAGACATCTCTACACAATTTGAATGTGACATGCCACTACATTTGGACACATACTAAATGAAACATGGATGAACAGTGAAGAAACAAGGTGCTAATAGGACATCTTTAACAAGTCATCATAAGGATAGCACAGGGTATTCATATACATATATCTTTAGATCCTGGGCATTGTATTTAGAAATACTTTTCCTTTTGGAACATCCTTTCAAAAGTTACATATTTCAGTATTTCTAACACTTCTGATACCCTATTATTTCTTAGTATTTGAGTTGCGTGCGTGAGGAAGAGATACCCTGCCATGTTGTTGAAACTGGTATCCTCCAAGCAGTGGCTAGATAAAATGAGGAAGACTGATTACTTGCAACAATTTGAGCTACAATGGGCAGAATGGTCTCCTCTCATTTGTAGCATTTCAAATGCCTTTATTAAACATTATCTGTCACAAAATACCTTCGCCGCAGACCGTACAAAGTGGAAAATTCGGTGCAAACAAGCAGACCCCACATAAGTGGGAAAATGCAAAGACGAAGAAGATCTGCCACAAAATACCTACAGACAGTGCTATTTACTACTAGAGGCAATGTTGCAATGTCGACCCTTTAAATTTCTATCGTTAACTTTAAATATTAAATGTGATAATCTTCTCAATTACATCTTAAAAACCCAATTCAAACACAAACATCGCTATATAGTGAAACAGAGCAGAGGTAGGTACACACAAAAAGATTCATTAGAGACAAGTAAGCACAAAGCATCATAAAGGTCAGTATCATAGCTCTTCCACCTTATTAGTTGCAAGATGTCAAACCTACATGGCTGTTTGTTGCTTGATTTTTCTTTGCTACCTACAAATAATAAAAAAATGAAAAGACACAGGTCTTGCAATAATAAAAAAGGAAGAGATATTTGCCTCCCCTTATTATGCATTATAATGGACTCGTACTAATGAAAGTTGATGTACAGAAATGTGCATTTATGTCTTTCTGTTGATTTTTTTTTCTTCAGCTGATGAAAAAAAATGATCATGCTTCTAAGTGAAAAATCATAAATTGAAATCAGTCAATCCTTATTACGTATACTTTTCTTGAATTCTCAGGAAGGATTAAGCTACTATTTGGGGAAATGCAATTATTTCATGATCTGACCTCAATCTTCTAGTTCATGCATTGTCATTCATTCATTTCAAAACGAAAAGTAACGATTCTCAATACTTCCAAACTTGCAAAACCGCACAATAAAAATACCATATCCTCAAGGTGTAAAATGAAGAGTATTTTACATTGGAAAAAAATACACTTGGATTACAACGCAAATGATTTCAATTTAATGATTTGAGTGAATGCTAATGCATTTTATCAAGAGTTAAAACTGCTTGCCTTGGTTTGAGCATCCATAAACACAACGAAAACCTTCCGCTCCTAGAATATCTGAGAGAGGTGACCTCATTAATTCTATGAGAATATCTAATTTCAGTACAAATTAGTCTTATGAACCTGACTCTATAAAGCACAAGCAGTATATCAGAAGCTAATGCAAAAACAAAAGGAGAATCAGATCTCCAATCCAGGCCTGTTGAAGTGATAAAAACTTCGAAATATCAGTTGTCATTAACAGACTAGCCTTTTCTAGAGTTTGAACATCCAGAACTAGAGTTTTCAGATTTTGATTTTAGTGAAGTTTTAACATTAGTAAAATAAATGCATAATTTTTATTATGCCAAGTTAAGATTTTTTTCTTTTTTTACAATCAGAAAATGATATGAAGATATAAACAACATAGATTGAGGCTGTACTTGTTTTTTACTTCCAATCTTTTAAATATTTTAAAAACATTGTCCCCTGAGGCAGGTTCAGTGTTAAGGCTATGTACTATAACCAGCACCATGCGACGTTTTATCTGAAAAGGGTTGATTTCCTCAATGCTTGGTTTAAATCTAAAGAACAAACTAGAAATTCCAGAAAAATGTGATTGTTTTGAAACAACAAGGAATCATTCTTAGCGCTGGTGAAAGTTCCTCACCTGTGGCAGGGTTGATGCTCGCAGCAATGTGAAAGTGACAGAGTGCATTAGCATGCAGGCTGGCGTTGGTCCTGTGGGCTTGGTGTCTGTCCTGCTGATGAGGCAGATATCCGGTGTGACAGGGCAGGGCAGTTGATCTCCTCCTGCCCCTCCTCAGCTGCTTCAGATTCAACTGTAGAGGAGTTCATTACCAAGAAGTCATAACCAAGAAGTCGGCATCTTTTGCAGAAGAAACATACAAAAAAGTATGTAGCTTCTGAAAAAGCAAAAGCATGAAGGCCTGGAAATCCTTTTTATACGATACTTAGAACTAAAAAAACTAAACAGAGATGGAGAATATCACTTTGAACATTTTGCTTTGAACTGATACAGAAAATAATGATAATATGGTGACATTTATGGTGCTTTGATCCCCCTTTTTCATGGGCATGTATTTGGACTAGTTATGCTATTATCATGAAAGTATCTTATCTAAGGAGGGTACAGCAATCTGTTCTATTTTTTATGAAATAACATTGTAGGAGTAATTTGTAGGAGTTATTTGGAAGGTAGAGGGAGTTTAGAATTTCAGCATAACTTAACAAAATATTTTTTCTGATAGACACTCTATGCCCAATAATGCATAATGTACATGATTTCATTAACTCAAGTACACCCACACTTTAACAGTACTGATTTCTACAGCACTTTCAAGAATGTATTACAATCTAGTGAAGTATACTATTGTACAAAAGTGTGGGTCATTTAGTGGCAGAATAATTATTTTGTCTTTATAAAATACCTACAGTACATAACTCTTATTATTGAGAGACATTACAAACGCAACAGATGAGTATTGTAAACAGTAGCAGCATGTTACATCTCTAATGCCTCAAAGTAGAATTTGTAATCACCATCACGTGATTACAAAAACGAAATCTTACTGTAGGATTAAGAACATTGTTGGATCCCTAGAACTGATCCATCTACATTTCCATATTTCACTTTCATTGTAGACACCTCTGTACCCTGGTTTACAATCAAAGATGAAATTACATAATTATGCTAGCCCAACTCAAAATGTCTACAGTCCTGACATCTTTCACACTGGAGTCATAAAAAACCTGAATTATGAATGTTGCTGTTAATTATGTTTTTATTTTGAATTCGCATAAATTGTATTTATTGGTTTCTGTTGTCAAGTCTCTTGATAAGGCCATTGATTATAAAGATAACATACTCCTGATTATCTTATATGGACAAAGAAAGGATAGAAAAATGTTTTAATTTACATTTCTTGGATAACGGAGTCTTAGCCTGAAATAGCAGTCACACGAATACTCACCTCTAAAGCATTCTGAACACGCTCCTTGCTTGTGGAATGCCTCTTTATGCCACTGGTTGTTGCAACAGGCTCAGTACTTTGGCTTTGACTATGTCCAGACAACAAGCTGTCACTAGGTAGCAATGTCTCTGCCCAGAGTCGACACACATTGTCTTTGCAACATGTCAACAGCACGTTACACACAGAACCCCTGTGGGGAAACAAGCTAGAGGTTAAACACTTAAAAAGGAATAAGCACAGAACAACAATGAATTTCTGACAAATGTGTTAGTTTATTGAACTTTCAGGAATAAATGAAAGTGGAAAAATGTAATTTACAAAAAAACTCTGGAACACAATCCAGAAACAGATCCACAGTATGTCACAGCACAGCTTTCGACAAATTCTTGGTACAAAAAAATCTCCAGCTACATAGTTATTAAACCCATTTAAATTTCTAGAAGGTTTTATTATTTTTACTAACCGTGGCATATATTTACTGGTCTTCCTCCAAGAAAATCCAGTCACTGTCCGAGGATGGGCCAGATACACAAAAGAGTAGTCCACTTCTCCCTGAGCAGACCTTTCTGGTAGACTAAATAGGGTCGTCCCTGTTGTCTGCCAGCTGCTAGTATTGTACCACACCTTCACCAGGCAATCGTCCTGCAAGCAAGCAATACAAGCCTAATGCTACAGTATGTTGTTCTAACAGGACCAAATAGGAGACAAAATAAAACTATTGAGAAGCCTAAGACATCTTATCTCCTGAAAGTGCCATGCTAAATTACAATTGAAAAATAGTTATAATTTTAAAAAAAGATATTCATATTTATAAAATATTTTATATTTTGGTTTTATTAAAGTTTTTCTTTATGCCTACAACTTCTGTGCTGTGTGCAGAGATACAGGACCTGCAGACATGGTTCTCTGACACTCCCACTCATTACTCTTTTACTTTTCTGACAAAGCAGGCTCCAAGGTTCTTACAAGAGAGTTAGCACCAACTGAAGGAGTGGCACTTCTCTCACTGATGTCACTGAAAGTTTGCAGTTCCGGGTGCCAAAAACAAAGATTGGGCCAAGACAAGTTTATTTCAGGCTTTTAAACATTAAAAGCTATGCAAATATGAATTCTTAATTAATTGGGAGAAAAGGACTTCTGTATACGCTGAAATCACAGCTCCTTAGATGGAAGGAAAATGTAAGAATTTTGCGCATGTACAGTATGAGGTTGAATGTTTTTATGACTGCTTAACAAAAATTCACAAGATATCAGCACCTACATATTAGAAGTAATGCTTTAATGTAATCAACATAACAGTTCAGATCTTTCAATCAATATAGGCAATAAATTAATCAACAAAGAGACAAAAACACCAGAAAGGAAGGATAAAAAAGAAAGATTTACCTTTCTAATACAAAGATGCTGTATGCTACCTAGAAATACTGTACATCACATTCAAGTTGCGTATAGCAGGCTCTGCTATCTCAAGTGAGGGCACTATGAGATTACTGTGCCCAATATTAAACCACCATGAAACAATCCTCTCTCTCTCTCTTTACCCTTTTTACACAGTGAATATGTAGCCTCCCTCCCAAGACAAAAAAAGAATTTAAAGTGATATGACAAAAGGTAAAAAAGAAATAAGACTTTACAACGACATAACGTAACCAATATTGACATCTGAAGTTTTATAATATGGTACTCAGTAGCATTTTCTTATCTAAATGTTGCAGTGAGACACATGAAAAAAAAAAAAAATAACGTTAAAAAACCCTTCCCGAAATTAAGAAAGCCTCCTCCAAAGTTTGGCCTCAAGAACCAAAAAATAAGGGGGGCAACTAAATTATAGTTTTCAGTCTTAAAAATATTTTAATCAATTTTCATTATTTATGCTAAAATTCTAATTTAATTTACTACTATCCAAAAAGAAAACCGCTTCATATATCAGGACAGTCTTACTGTAGACACTTAGCAAATTAAAACTAAAAAATATCATGCTCATCTTTCCACTGCATGCCAAAAATCCCTAAAAGCAATAGCATTTTTTCCAAAACATTTGACTAGATTTCACTTCTTGGTGTGCCGGAATCTAGGTGAAAACATTCTGCAAAATGAATTGAAAGCCAAGTGCTGGATGAAATGGATAGAAAACTGCACACAAAATAATGGCTTACCCGTCCTGCTGTAGCAAAGAAATCCCCATCTGGAGAGAACTTCATTAAATGAACAGATGATGCAGTTCTGTATGTAGAACAAAAATGTCAAACCATTTAATGCTTGTAAGGTGTCTCCCAAAATAATAGAGTGATCCTGATAATAACAACTGAACATTAATTCTTCCTTCAAAATCACCAGGACAAAATTAAGATATATTTGAGAGACACAAAACGGATAAGATCAGATTAATGAGTAGTTTGAAGAATGTTAAATGTTCTCTCTAATATTATGGATTTCTCACAAACATACCCTTAAGACAATTTTTGTTTACATTTTTATTAGAATGACTAATGTATTTGTAATCATTATAATTCAGACAAGAAATAATACAAATGACTGGGAGAGAACTAAGTTGTATTAAGTAGAATGCGTGAAATATTTTATAGTTTTATCATTCTAAATTATACCCATTTGTACTTTTCCTCAAAATAAGAAATAACACCTGAATACTTCTAATTACATTTGGGTTATATGGTTATATGCTCACAATAGGTTTGGAATTTAATCTGATAATACTTTACGTATATAGTTATTCATAATTTTACTACTCACACAGAATTCATTCATATTCACGATGGATAAGCGAATAACTAATAAATACTGATAAAACATCATTATCTTATCTTTTACACCAAAGTAGCATTAACTTGTCCATTTGTTTTCGAGTGTACATTTTTTTGGAAAATTCCAGTCAAAAATAGCTCACATAGTCAGAAATTCTGTTTCCAGATGTAGTGTTTGCACACTAAACACAAGATACTCTCGTCAAGAGACACTAAGGAGTATGATTTTGATGACCTGGGTTCAAATTTTAAACATCTCCCTGTGCAAATGAAATGTAGTGAGAGGGGATTGGTCTGAACCTGTTACTGCAAAGATGGAGATACAATCTACGGGCTGATAATGAACCACCAACACAACCTTTTAGAGGCTGTTCATGGCAGAACTGGATTTTCAGGAACCGAGGAAGGAAAAAATGGACAGTAGTGCAACAGTGAGGCAGAACAATTGCTGGTCCAAGAAACTCCTGGGCACTGCTTTTCAAATGGAGCTAAAGGAATGGCTTATCCAACAAGAGCTTGAGCTTATGTCTGCTCGATGCAGAAAATGCTGATTTTTGTGGCACAATATATTGTCCACCCAAGGTAAAAAAAGTACAGTATGAAATGTTTTACTTTTACTGCACAAATATCAATACACTTAAGACCCTTGATTCTAGGAAGTGTCTTATCTGAAATGTTTGAACATTTGATTTTGAAACAAGCTGTCTGTTTATTAGTAGAATGTTTTAATTTTATGATTTAAGGAGTTCTTCCCATGCCATTCAGATCCTCACAGATATCATTTTAGGTCTGAGGAGAGTTAGAATTATTTTAGCTCACCAGATAGGAAACTTAAAGGTTCTTACCTTCTTCTCAGAATATCTTTTCAATCACAGCACATTTTTTAGCAACTATCTTTTCTAACAAAATTTAAACTGTACACATTATTTCTGATTAGGCACCATACGGTTGTGTATATATACATAGAGGTCAAATTATATTTTGACTATATACTTCCTTCTTGTGATGTTAGTTTTGTCATTTGCTTCTTATGTCCTTGGTGAACACCCCTTGTTTATAGTCCAAGGAACTGTCAGACATAAGGATTACACTGAGAAAAGACATCCTTAAGACTAGATTTTTAAAATGCTTCTTATTCCATCAACAAAACCACTTCAGAAGAAAATACTAATAAGCCTCAAAGATTGTGGTGATCACTGTCATTAACACTGAAACCTTTCTTCTTAGTACAGAATCAAACAGAACACTAGTTATGTAACACTTTGCCTTGTGCCCTGTAATTCTCAGATGATTAGTAAAGTAGCTCCTTTCATGAAATGGACAAATAAATCACTGGATTAATTAGCTACTAGCAACCTGATGGCCTAGTTGGACCAAATACAATCTTCTTAATTGTAACCTTCCTTATGTTCCTTACTTGCACTGCCAGATGCATTTCCAGTTGCCAAGGTCACTTCCTATGGTCATTTCCACTCCATCTTCTTCAATACATGAACATAATCCAACATTGGACCATAACTGTAAACTGCTGGATCCTGTTAGAAGCCGTGTTCCTAGGAAATAAAATAGCTATTCAACCAGCTACCCAGAAGACTAAGTTAATTATGGCTTAATCACACATAAAGAAGAACAGGAATAAAAACACAATTTTATCTGTTAACAGGTTCAATGACAGATAGTCCAACTAGAGTTAAGTGAGAAGATCTTATACAGAGGCGGAAAATATATTTAAAAGAGTCCAGAACATGACTTCATTAATTCGAATATTGATTTATACAAATAATCCTATTACTACACATTTTGTTTCAAAGTTATTTCTATATCAACACTTCCAATTTAAATAGAAAGTGAACGGACTTCATTTTATCGACTATTAATGTTTACAAGGCATGTGAAAATAAAGAACTGCCATGGTAATAGTTCAGTGCAACATATTACAACTCAAATGTGTGTAAAACTGAAAGGAAACTTTAGCATAACCATTTAAAATGAAAATGTATTGTTCATTGATAAAGATATCTTAAACACATATAATAAAATGCAAGTGTAATTAAGGGGTTTTTGAGAGTGGAACAAAATTCACACGCATGAAGAACATAACCTGATTTCCATCAAGAAACAGCTGGATTAGATTTGATCACTGGATCAATAAAACTTTGAGACATGAATTTGATCACCGGATCAATAAGCGACTAACTACCCAACAGATCAGATGGATTAAATGGCCTCCACCTATTTATAATTATTCTTATAAAAAATACCATAAGCATTAAATATGTATGGATAGTATATACCCCTATCTGAGATCTTTCTTTTTTCCCTTCAATGAATTCACTTAGTTCCAGCATTGTTTATTATGTTTTGCTACAGAATCTGCAGACAAAGAATTGAAACTGCAAAGCTGTATAGTTCAGATATTGATTTTCCACAGGAGAAGAAGGGATTCAGATAAAGACAGTATACTTTATTTTCACATAACCTGGACCCTACTTTTGACCCATTTACACTGTATGCTAAACATATTATTTCAAGCCCCTAGCTAGCTGTCAACCAAAGAAAGATTCACAAGGTATTTCCACAGCTGAAAGCAATAGAAGTGTGAATTTGACTACTGTGTCCCCACAATTCTAACATTGTCATGGAAGTCTGGAACAAGACACCTAGCTGTGATATTCAAGTTGATAGTGTCATCTTTCAATAATTTGATTAACAAGATCCCTGCTAGCTACTACCTACCTGATGAACTAGATAACATCCTCTCAATTGGAATCTTCCTTATGTCCATTATATTTCTTTCTATGGAAATTGCTTGCAGGCATGTCATGCTATTGCTGATGGAAACACTTCATCCTTCAATGAGCACAGAATCTCTAATACGGGGCTTTTTTGGTCACCCTATACTTCCTCCTTCTCCCCTGTTTGCACTCATGGTTTACACAGACAAACATCTGGTGACTCTAAAATCAAAAATAAGTTCTGTTCTGTAATCAAATCTTACCTGTTGGGTCCCATACCAGATTGTGTGCTATTGACTGCAGGACAAATTGTCCACTCTTCTGCCACTGGTAATTTAATCTCTATAGACAAGAAGTACAAAAGCATAAGTTTTTTTAATGCTTGCAAAAATAACAAACATGCTATGGTTAAAATAAAACAAACACTTATTTTAATTACAAAGCAGAGCTCTGCTTGGCTGGTCTCCAATGGGAGTGAAGTTAATCAGATGAAGTTGATGAAGCTGCCAGCTTGAGTTTGTGGAAAAGTCATGGTCAATAAAGTATCCCCAAGTCTGTATCTCTAGACCACTCTTGCCCTCCTAAGTATTTGTGCCAAGTTGCACAGTTCAGAAAATAATATTAAGCAAAAAAGAAACTGATTAAAATATATGCATGATATATCATATAGTATGCACAGTATTTCTAAAAAGAATTTCAAATGTGTATACGGTAGGTATAAAATATGAATGACAACATGATGGTAAATTGAGACTGCTCGTGAAACTCACAGTTGTTACCTTATTCTTCTGATTTAAGAGCTGAACAGGTTCAAAGATGCAAATAACATTTCCATAGGAAGCCGCAATCTGCAACAAAAAAGTGAGAAATGGCATTTAAAAAGGATACAAGATACCTTTTCATGTTACCATATGCTTATCATTTCTACAACATGGTCTACAACTAAATGCCAAATAAATAAATTACGCTACAAAAAATACAGATGTTGCTTTTCATTTCCACTACTGAAATTATAGAACCTGCCCAAGTGAGATCCAGGGACGGGAGAGTATGATGGAGCTACAATCAGGCAACAACTGTGGTTAACAGCACTGCGTTATAAACAAACGCTGGGGCATTTTAACTTCCCACTGAAGACATGGCCTTCGCTCAAAGTAGACCAGGGCTCCCAATAGGCCAAAGGTTCCCAACTACATTCTTGGAGGTTTTATAGGTGATTTTAAATCAGCTGAAATTTATCTCAAATTGCACCAAGTTAGCCAAATAATTAGCTCCAGTAAATCAAGGGTTTTGGAGTGGGACAGAAATGACATCCTGCAGAACAGGATTTGGAAACCCCTGCATTAACTCCAGCTGTTCTACACTATAGTCTTCTGTTATGATACAGGGGATTTGGTTTGGAATTTCTAGTTCATAGGAAGGACTCAGGAGGACTTGAATTTTAACTCAAAATATAGGTTAAGCAAAAACAAAAATGTCCTTTAGGCCTCTAGAAATATTTTATTGCACTGAAAAATAATTGCTCATAATAAGCACTATTCACTAAATTCGCATTGCATCTAGAGTTTCTTAAGATAATCAGAATTAATTGCAGTTAATTATGTACAGTCAGTTTATGATTATAACCAACAACTATTAATAATTTACTTATTCATAAGGTTTTGTGTAGGTGAATGGCACTTTAAGTCTTATCATTTATCAACACTGTTTTTGCCAGATGAGCTCCTGTTTAGCTGTTTGTAGTACTTTTTCCTATCATACAAAAGTCTTAATTAATACAAGGAAACTTTGAACAGCATATACTGTATGCCAGAACAAAATTAAATTTAAAGCATCTTCTTTTCTCTCTCATAAATTGAAGGCAAAATATCAAGAATCATCTCTAAACAGACCAACAAAAACACATTTTATAACTAAAAGTTTATCCTGTCTATGGAGTGCAAAATAATAAATGTAACCTTGTGTTACTCTTCTTCTGTCATACAATACAACACGCATACATAAGCACACCTGCCAGAAAGCACCTGTACTTAATGTCTTTTTCTAGGATGTCAGAGCTTTGTTGAAACATTGCTGCACTCATTTAGCTTGTGATCATTGCCTTCTCTACTCAGTAGCCTGCTGCTCCATTTTGTTACTAGAGGAAGTATGTACTTAGAGGAATACTTTGTACTCCTAGAGACCTACAGTTATCCATTCTGAAAGCACAACAAAAGAAATCAACGTGATAATGAATGCCATGATGACACAGTTTGGGAATGAAGTGCTTGGTTGTGCAGAAAAGTATGAGAATTATGACAGACTCTGGGGAATAATCTCAGCAACCTGGTTACTGTTAATTATTACCAATTAAAATAAACAGAGTTTGACTGTTTAAAACAAATATAATGGCGATACAAGAGCAAATTTTAATTAGGATTAAGTACAAGTATAAACATAGCACAATGAAGCCATGACATACAAAAATATGCAGGTAAAAATCAAGGTAATTAAAAAATGAATGGCAGATATGTGTATTTTTTTATAATTCATTATAGTCCCAAACAAAAAAACTAAAAATACAGGTACCTTTGAATTGACACTGTGAATATATTTTTATAAAAACCTTGATAATATTTCAATCATTGATTTTCAATTAAACCCTGATACCTCCTAGCACGTGGCTGAAAAGACACTCAAAAGCATGTGCATGACTGGGGAAAAAGAAAATGAGCTGAATCTCAGTCTCTAAACAACAGTAAGCCTGCATATCTGAAACTATCTGCGTAGCTCTGGGTTAAATATAACAGCTTCCACCTTCTGATAAGTCTGTACTTCATGAGCTGTATGACACCTGACCGCTTTTTGATTCACAGATCCAGTTCTGTTGGAGGTGGAGCTGGCTTTTCAAATATGAGGCAGAGCTCCAAGCTGCCTGTTAATGGTAGTAGTCCAAACTTTCAATTTTATTCTCATAAGGCACACTGTATTTTGTTTAGTCATGTATCTTTTCATATACTCTTAGAGTTGAGAGCTATTGTATATCTTGTGGAAAAGTATTATTATTTAGCATATATCACAGAAGTGAAGAAGCTTTCATTTTCATTGAGCCAATGTAACAATATAAACCTAAGCAGAAGTGATGATAAGCACTCTATTCAGGACTGAAGTACTTTAATAAAGTGTTTATGGCTGTTTAATTTTCATTCAAAAGTCCTTCAAAACTACAGTAATCCTTTAACACAAAATGTAGAAATGCCAATAAATAAAAGTGCATAAGGAATTTTATCTTTCAAATGTATTTTCTATTACATAGCAAGTAACCCAAAACATATTTTAAAAGCATGAGAATCTGGAAAATATTTCGAATTTATTTGCACACTATAGCCATTCAATTACTAAAAGTGGTGTGAATTTCAGTTGATAGCATTCTGTTTTCACATCAAACCTTTTCTCCTCCAGATCATAAGAACATTTTCCCCCATACATTCTCTTCCAGTTTCACATACAGTACAGAGAGCATCCACCAACTTTTAAACTCTCAAAACACCCACTTTTCTCTGTGAAATGCGCTGACCAAGACAAAATAAAACAAAAAACAAAATTCAAAGAAGAACTTAGAGGTCGTTAATACGAGACAAAGATTAAAAGGTAGAAACAATGAGCTGTTAGGCCAAATCCAGCAGCATTGGCATTTCACATTCACATTTTGATCTTCCCTTAAAATAGGGAAACTGTAGATGACTTTGAAATGAGTTACATCAACAGATGCACACAAAATTAAAAAAATAAATAAAATGTTTTGATAACATTACAGTTAACTAAAAAACTAAAGAACATTAATGGCAATATGCCAAAGCCATCATTTTGGCTTATGAAGGTTTTTTTTCTGAAAATAGCATTTTAACAGTTTAATTCTATTGCAGTGTAAGATAAAAGATAGAGAGAAAAGTTGGTAACTTGTAATTTTATTTATGTTTTCAAATGACTGTAGGCAAGGTATTTTTGGAAAACTAATTAGCTGAAAGATCTAGATTCAAACAGATGACAAATTAGCTTAAGACAAAAATACAATTACTTTTAAAAATAAGTTCCAAAATGCACTTACTCCAAAAACATATTTTACTATATAATGTTCTTACTTATAATTTCTAAAAATGAAAAAAATTGGGAAAATACTTTGTGATATATGAATATGCCTTAATGCCTTTGGTTAGCTAATTCTTATTAAAACACCAACATAACTACTCACTTTTTAACTTCATTAACACTGACTAATCTAATCCTAACAACATTAACCTTCACATCATGTAACATGACTCCTAATAACCTCATTATCTCAAAAACAATTTTAAGATGGCTTTGAGAAAAGTAACTGCATGAGCACATACAAATCAATTGTTCCGATACCATGTTAAGAACACTGAAAGGAAACTACTCTTTAGTGTCAGCTGTAAACAATCTTAAAACCTTAAGGTCATGCAAGTAGAGAATGAAGCAAGACTGATTCTTCCTGCTGCTAAGTAGCTAAACTTGTTCTATTGGTAGACAGTAATTATACTGCTACAAGCTGAGTAAATCTGTAAAAATTAATTTCATAATAGATTATAGTTAATTACAGAGTAGGAATTTCAGCCCATTGCGTATTTAGGTTTTCATCTATATAAATAAATAGTGTTTTGTACCTCATACTACATTTCACAGTAATTGTTCTCATCCCACTTTGAAAATGTAGCTTTTCAAAACTGATCATGCTACTTTGTGGCATTTTGAATTCTTCTTCTCTATTACATTCCTTTTCTCCCTATGATCTTTAACACTCTTTAAATAGCTTTTGATGGACAATAAGCTTTAACTTTATTCAGTTGTTAACACCAGTGAATAATTTATTGCCTACATTTTAGTTCAATATTTTAGCCCAGGTTAGAGCTTAATTAAAAGAGTGCTCTCAATAGATTCTGTAGAATAAAGACAAGGACTTTGCATCACAGTAGAATTTTAAAGACTTTTGTTATGTCAATTCAGAAAAGTCCCAAATGGGTCACATAGTCAACTATTCAAACTGGACAATATACAGAATCCAATCAAACCTAAACTGCCAGTCCTTGTGAGGTGGGTGGAAACAAGAGCACCTGGAAAAAACCTTCATGAACATGAGAACCCTGGAGCTGTGAGGTAACAGTCTAACTACCACAACATCCTGTTAACCTTCACCTTCTTAAATTAAAAATCAACTTATACTGTGCCTACACCGGGTTTAACAGAGGTTGTTCATTGTCCATCAATATGAAGTAAGATAAGCACATTCCATAATGTTTCTCTACTACAGTGAAAGCCTTCTTAGTTAACTAACTTCAGTTATAGTTAACTATATGTTATAAATGTACAATTGTGTAGTCACAAAGATAATCCATATAAACAACTGTGAAGTTGTTCAGAATTGAAGCAAAGTAAGAGGACAAAGGTACAAGGTTTACAAGACGAAATGCTTACTGATTATCAAAAGTGCATGCAACATGACACAAAAAAGCATTTATTTTCTGCTTCAAATCTGCACAGACGTTATTCTAAAAAATCATGGATTAAAAAAACCCAACACTGGTGGTTTCCACTTGGATATTAAAATTACTCTTTATTACAAACTGTAAGTGACACTGGTGGCATTTGAAAATCCTGGTTCCACTGAACTCTTACCTTGCCCTGCTGCATGGAGCAGTCCACACATCCAACTTGGATATTCCCATGTTTCGCCCCAGGGATGATTTGTAGCCTTTCAAAGTGACTGCCTAAAATTACAATGTCGCATCCTGATGCATAAGCCTGGAAAAGAAAAGATACGATGACCTTAAAATATCAAGATAAGCAACGTACAGATACAAATACAAGTAAACAAAGTGTTGCCAAAGTTCCATCTTTATACAATATGCTGAGTACCTGACTCATGCATTTATAACATCAAGGCTCAATTTTTCCATCTCTTTATTCTATGGGCACCCTAACTTTCTTCTCAACAAGTAGCAATATTTGCAAAACTCTGCAGCTAGACTATTAACTCACATCAGACCCTGGCAGCATATCAGCCCTACACTAACGTTTCTACACTGGTTGCCTGCAAAGTCACATATTCACTATAAGATCGTGTTACTGACTTTCAAGTCTCTAAAACATTCTGGCTCCATCATACATCTCTGAACTCCTCCATGTTTACACTCCCTCCCGTAGGCTCTGTTCAGCTGAGTCAGGTCCTCTAATCACTGTACCCAGGACTAAATCCATTTGGTTATTGTGCCTTTTCTGTCTCTGCTCCAGTGTTATGGAATGTCCTTTCTCTAAATATACGAGAAACAACTTCTTTTACTCTCTTCAAATCTAAACTTCAAACTTACCTTTTTTTTACCAAGGTCTTTGTCTGATTCCCTACATCTGTAAAAACCTACATGCCTGTTTATTGTTTTTTCTCCATTTACTTTACTTTTTTATCTTTTTCTTCATTCACAATGTACAGCATCCTTGGATTCGTTAAGGTGCTTTACAAATAAAAGTTATTATATAGATTATCAAAGCCAACAGAAAAATAGTCCGGATGTTAAAAAAAAACCCATCAACTTTGGCTTTGTTGGTTACAAAGACATGGAAATATGACCAACAAATCGAAAAACATAAAAAATAAATACCCCATATCAAAGGAAAACAAAAAGCATCACAGAATGCAAATACTGGGTATGCACAAGTACACAATGTAGACTAACACATGAAAAATTGTACATCCCCCAATAGGGGGTAATAAGTTTAGCAGCACTACTTGGCACATTGAGTTTTCTTTGCCTAATTATTTTTGTCATCATTAATAATTATTCCTATCCTTAGAAAATCAGCCTAATTACTGGTCTGAAGTGTTTCGTTAACAGACCTGTTGATTGTACAAGGCATAGTATCATTAAGCTTTTTTATGCACTGTTGACTTCATTACTGCAGTGCCAATGACTGCTACAGTACTTTAATTTGCAAAAATGTCAGGTATAGATGAGCACCTTTCAGAGAAAAAAGATGAAAGCAAAAAGCTTGTAGTATGATTAATAGGATTAAGAATTGAAAGTCTTGTATTTAAAGTTTCCTTCAGTTATAAGCTTTACAAACCTGATACATTTCAGTTTTTTTTAATAATTAAAATTCACGGAAACACCTACACTACTTTGCCATTGAAGAAAATGTATTCAGAAAAATAAGGGAAGATGCTTAAAATGTATTTAAGGTAATGGCACTCGCCTGGAGATAAGCCCTACAGCACGGGTTTGAGGCTAAGCTATACAGTAGGCATTAACGAGCTACAACCAAGATTACAGAGTGGCATGCACATCTGGTCACGCACCACTGAGAGTGGGTGTGCTTGCGACAGCCAAGGCCATCTCAGCTTGACATACAAGAGCAAACCTTGGTAAATGTCAGCCACCTGCGAGCTTGCAGTTTCATCAGTAAGACATGCATCATGCTTCTCCAAGCCGATACTTCCTCTCTTTCAAGGCACAGTGGAGTTTGCAATGACTCAAAGGGTGATAAAGCTCAGCATGTCATTGGGGATGGGGGGAATGGTCAGCAAGATTAATGAATTTAAACATTAATAATTCAAACCTTGAATGGTAGAAAATAGCAATGATTTGTAGAGATTTCAAATTTCTAGAAAAATGTGAAAAGGTCTCTGCTTTATCTCTTATTCGTCTCTATCCATAATGTGAACTGTGAAGGACAGCATTGAAAACAATTGTCATGGATAAACAGCAGGACTCTGTTTAATGGATCCAAACCACCTACTACTCTTGGTCACTATCCATGTTTTTCTGCCTATTTAACTCCTTTAATCCAAGATGTATACAGTATGCTGAAGGACAAAGCAACAAATGGAATAGTTTAACTCTTGCATCAATAGCTCATTGGACACACATAATGGTATTTACATTTAAAATAGTGAGCAGATACATGTGTTGATTGTTTGTATAGTATTGTTCCTTGGGATAGCAAAATACTGAGCTAAAGTCAAAGGATTTCAAAACCAGATACTAACTTTTCATTTTAACTGTGTGCCATGTATCAGACTGAAAACGTAAATTTCTAAAAAGTAAACGTATAATTCCTGTTACGTCCTGTTACACCCCTTTACCCCTAGACATTTGGGGTCATAACAATTCTGTTTTATAGCTATGCATAAAATTCTTGATTAAATAAATTTAAGAGAGGCACTCAGGAAAAATGTAAGGAGGAAACCTTATTGTAGTGTATTAAGACTACATTTTACAGCACCATTTTTAGAACATTTATTTCATATGTATATTTCAATGAAAGTGAGTAAATGCAGGTATTTGAGTAAGCAATTTTTACCAGCACATCTGATCATTTCAAAACATAGCCAGATAAACAAATAGGTAACATTTCTGCTACAGTAAAACTTGATGTGTTAAGACCCTGATCTCAGTTTGGCAAAGAAATATTATTATATTTTATTATTATTAACAGCAGGCAGTATCTTCCATTGATCTCTTCAGTGTGGAAATGGTAGTAAGTGTTATCTATGCATATTGTACCCTCTGTTCTTGAAGGGTTTGGCAGCAGAAACTGTATCAATATCATTTGAAAGGATTTAAATGTCACAACAGTGCATATCTGATGGGTGCACTCTTATTTTTGCCTTTATAGTCAAAATGACCAAGACAGCTGAAATACTGCAGCTTTTTGGCCAGACAGTTTTTACTACCAGACAGCTAAAAGTTTACAAGTACAGGCACAGGCAGCCTTTTTTCTTAATGTCCTTATTCTTCATACACTCATAAACACACAGGGCACAATGTAGACTTTCACATAACTAAAAAAGTATGAGGCTTTGCATTTAGGAAGATTTTGTATTGTAATATAATCTGGATCTGATAACGTAGACACCAACATAACAATGGGTCTACAGACCAACATTTAAGGAGGTCATATTGTGGTATCATTAGATATTGAGCTCCAATGTAAAAAATAAGATAACAGTACAGGAGAAGAAAACAAACATGAATAAAATATTTTTGGAGGATAGAGGCAATAGCAATACTTTTATTTTGAGGATATGCACTTATATTTGGGAACATATGCAGTGATTCACATGAATGTTGCTATTACTTTAAAAACTTTATACAATTATTATGCAACACCCACCACATATAAGCAATATTAGCATTACATGCTGTTCACACTTCTGCATCTCCAGTCATAAGAAAGAATTTGTATGTCTCATTATTCTACATCCTACTCATCGCCTACTGAATTATCTTTAAGGAACAAAGAGCAACACACATTACACTCAATTGTGTTTCAGAGGAGTAACAAAAGACAGAACATGATTCATTAATATCTCAGTATCAGGCTCTAAACCTAAACTACTGCAGTGAAGAGCAGTAGTGACATTTCATTGTGCGTTTTCATGTTACTTGTTTGTTGTCCATTTCTGATTTCAATGGATTCTGAGATGGGGTATCACATTGGCGCAGTGGCTGGCATTGCTGCCTCACAGAGCTGGGGCCCAGGGTTGAATTCCAGACATGGAGTGCTATTTGCATGGAGTTCCTATGTTCTCGTGTTTGTGTGGGGTTCTTCTTGGTATTCCAGTTTCCTACCACAGGCCATAATTGGCTTCTGGGAAAACTGGCCCTGGTGTGAGTGTGTGTGTGTGTCTGGCCTGTGATAGACTTTCACACACCGTCTATATTTTCATGGCAATCAAAAATCACACAATGTAAGATCTATGTAACTCGTGGGGTCTATGTATGCAAAATAATCAATCCTTTCAGATCAAGCGAACTGTATTTGGTGGCTCACACACAGTGTAACTAAAACAAATAAATCCCCCAATACTCTATGTCAAGATTTAGTTTTATTCTTATTTGAGTCTTGCACATCACAGGATAGGGCAATAGGCGAGATATATGCCATTAAAAGGTTCATATTAAAAGCAAATTAAGAACAAAACTCATTCTATATGGCAATATACTCACACCCCAGAGTTCTGTCAATTTAGCTTATCTATAAGGGATATTGATCTAAACCTACTGTACTAAAAGTACATTACTATAAGAAAATACAGTAGTTTAGAAGTCAAAACACACAACTGAAATAGTTTTAGTACAGGTGAATCAATTTTGCATTTTGTTGCAATCAAATTGAACAGATCAAAAGAGTTAAATTTATCACACTTATATTGCTTACTTTTCAAGAACAATCAATGTAAAACATGATTTTAGTTTACTTTAAAATTGTGTTGTCTGCTATTTGTGAATGACTTCTAACAAAATTATAAAAGCTATATCTAATATTGTTTTTACAGTTATTCAAGTAAAAAACTGAATATCTTTATTGCACATACAGTACAAGCTGTAAATAGTTTTGTCTCTGTCCTTAACCAAAGCTTCCTGCTTTTGTTTAGTGCAATAGAGTATGTAGTCAAGGAACATATGCATTCAAAACTATCTAAAAATTGACTCTTCCCTTCAATCATGAACGTGTCATTACAGATTCATAAGATTTTCCATTCAGAGCTCAAGCAAACTGTGAGAAAGAGGAAGTGAACTTGCCAAGCTGAAGGGCTAGCCAGTGAGACTGAAAGAGATTCTGATTCTAGCTCCCAACTTCATAATTATCCAGTTTTTCATAATGAAATCCTATCACAGGGCTAGCTGATCAATATAAATCAATTAATGCTGGATCAACATTAGGTATGAAAAATTCAAATTTCAAAGCATGATAATCATACTTTTATGCACAGAAAAGCCTGCTCCTTTTTAAGAAACAGAAAA